GACAATGGCAAGAAGGCACCTACTCTCTTTGCCCTCCCTGCCTCTGCAAGGGTCACGGAGCCAATCAATCCTACATTCCTCCTCACAGTCACATATGGAGCTCTTTTTGGCTTCTAGGGTAAAGGCTCCCTCCTTTTCTAGGCTGGAGGTTCTGCAGTACAGTGTTATTCCTTTATGCTGCCAGCCCATTTGAAGTAGTCCCTCAAAACTTGTTTTCAGCTGAAGTCTTTTGGGGGCAGAGTCTATTTCCCAGCCAGGCCGTGTCTGACACAGTGCACAGAAGGGATGGCTGGCTGGGCTGCCTCATCGAGGTGCCAGGTCACCTTTAGCCTGCTGGTGAGTTCCCAGTGCCTCCCACGGCTCTCAGCTCTTCACACACAGGACAGAGCCCCCCAGAGCAGAAATAGAAAACTTCTACTCCCAAGTCAGAAGACTCAAGCTGGTTTAGTAGCTGTTATCCTTGCAGAACTGCTGAATTCTAGATGTTCCTTGCCCACCTGGCCCCAAAGTACTTACCTGCTCCTGTCAACTCTGCTGGTTTTCTAAAACCTGGACTCTGTCAATCTCCTGATTCTATGGGGCTCATTCTCACCTTTCTTTTTAGATTCTTGGCCTGTACCCAGCACCAATACAGAGCCACAGCATCTGCCCTGCTCTCTCCCATTTGCTGTCATGCTGGTGCCTAAGCCCTGCCTCATGGTCACCAGGGTAGAATTTCAGTAGAAACTGTCTCACCTCTGAAAAGCCAGATGCTTATATTTCATCACTTTTGGGTTTAATGCCTTTTTTAATGGCGTCAAATGGAAGGATTATCTGATTTCCTTAAAAATTACTGTAACTACTAAAGAAAGCAGTAAAAAATAAGAAAACATGCCCACTGACTCAAATTAGTAGGTGGTAAAGTTGTGATAAAAATGTGCAATGACAAAAGATAAGCTTGGATCCACTTGAGCTTAATGAACTTTATGCTCCATTTTAAAACAAAAACTGATGGTAAAAGGACTTGCAAGAACTCGAGGCCAGGTGTAGTGACACATGTCTATAATCCCGGTACTCTGAAGGCTGAGGCAAGAGAATCACAAGTCAGCCTGGGCTACATAAGTGCGTTCAAGGCCACCTTCAACTATACTGCAAGACCCTGTTTCCAAAAACAAAAACAAACCAACTAAGGGGGAAAAAAAACTCCAAGAGCAGAAGACAAAATATGTATCCATGTCAAGTGACATCCAGCCTCACAATTTCTCAGGATGTAACGGGTTCCCTCCAGGGCAGAGACAGGGGAACAGCTACAATGGAAACACAAGACCAAGACACAGCAAACCTAAGAGATTCTTAAAAGAAATGACCTTCAAGATACCAAAGTAGATTAGTGATCCAGCACTCTCCCCACTTATAGATTTTCCAGCCAACTTCGGAGGCCCAGAGTTTGACTTCATAGATTGAGATGGTAGGTGTATCATATAAAAGTAGAAGTGAAAACAAAGTACTGTTTGTACCCCACACACAGGCAATGTCACACTATACTCTCCTAAAGGCGGCCTTACCTGCTTCATCTGGCCAGAAAAATAATTTAATTCACTTAAAAGCAGTGGTACTCAAAACATCATCCCCAGATCAGCAATACTAGCAACTTCTGGCAGCTCACTTGAAATTCCAACTCTCCAGCTGCCCTCAAGGTCTGCTAAAACACAAACCTTGGGAGTGGAGCCCAGCAGTTTGTATTTAACAACTCTTCCTGGGGACTTTGGTTTATGTTGAAGCTTGAGAATACTGACTTGGAAAACAAACACAAAACAACTTTAAAAAATAGTTACACCCATCCCTCAAAAAACTACTAATTACTATAATGTCAGAAAAGCACCTGTTTCTCTTCGTGATCTACAGTCAACTCAGGATTACCCTTTTGCGTGCTGTGGAGCAGATAAGGTACAAGTCAGTGATCACTGATTTAGACTCACCCTCTTACAAGAGATCAGCCTTCTTCCTAGGCTTTGCTTACCAAATCTCATGGATATTCCAGACTCCCAAGCACCCACAATCGAGTCTGGTGCAACTATTGGCTGAATGGATAAATGACCACAATGAATGGAGGAAAGAGAAGGCACTGGCAATGATGGTGATCAGCAGTTGTTTGGAAACTAACAGCATCCTATGCCTCATCTGCGAAACAGAGCATCAACGAGGGCTGCTGGCAACAGCTTGTATGAGAAAAGATTTTTAAGGATCCCTGGTTCTTCCCAGAGAAAGGTTCAACCAAGGATTTGTGAAGAATTCCAAAACTGGCACATTGTCAGGAGTGAGCATCCTGCAGGAATCTCCTACCAGAGTACTATTTTTAAAAAGGCAAGCAAGAGGGAGACAAATTGCTAAGAAGTTGCATTTTTACAGCAATTGAGAGACAAAACTAACTTCTTACCAGAAATGGAAACCCATGTGATATCACTGTACTGCATATGAATTATTAATATTTATAATCTTTTTTTGCCAATTAGGTATTCAAAAAGGTTCCTGTTGACATCATGTTTGACATCATAATGCTTCATCATTCTAAAAGCCTAATGAAATGAATTACTGCTAGAAAAAAAAGAGATCAAGCACACATTTTTGCACTCTGGGGAATTCCAGAGGCCAGGAGATAATGGGGATATGGTACATAATTAATGTACAAAATGGAGAAAAATTTTGAAACCCACCACCACCATATAAATAGGACCAAGGGGCAAAGATTTTATTTTTCTATTTAATGATTTTAGAAAGGGATGGAGAAACCATGTGGCTAGCACATATCTCAAACTTTTGAGGCAAAATAAGAATTATTCTAAAAAAGAATGAAAAAGTTTTTACAAAATGTCTCATCTGCAAAGGATACAGAACACATGAACTTTAAGACTGAAAACGACAAGATAACACTGAAGCACAGGCCTACAGTCCAGTATCAAATATTACAATATGTAGGGTAATTTTGTGATAAAATTCTGTATGCTTCAAATAACTCTGATCTAAAATTTAATTTCAAATGTCCAATTCCTGAGACTTATGCAATGCAAACCAGTGTTAACTCCTAAAGTAATAGTTGAGATGGGATGAATTGCATTTCTATTTGGGAATCTTGTTGATAAAGCAAAGTGAGTTAAATTACTTCCCTGGTATGTAAGCCAAGTAGCAATGAAATTTATAAAAATGTATACTAGCTGCTAATAATCAGCCGCCCTTCCCCCAACCCATCCCAGTTTTTACTGCACTGGTCTCTAAGTAGCCTCTTGAGGGAAGCATTAGAGCACAGAGAATGGGTTGACTCCCTTTTTTTCTTTCACTAAACAGAGTGGCAAGAGTTGCCAGGTACTAAAATGAGATCCTTGCTACTCTGAAGGGCAAAAATAGAGTTTCTCTTGAGCAACAAAAAACAAAACAAAGTACACAGAGTTCATGAGTGGCCACCTTTCTGTGCCACTGCTTCACATCTGCAAATTTCCTTTTCAATATTAAAAGAAATAGTCCTTATCATTAAAACCCCAATATATCCCAATTTAGTGCTGTTATTAAATACAACATTTTAATCCCTCGAGATTGTTTCTACAGCTAATTCAATGTGAAATAGTGGCAGGAGGTGGAGAAGGAGACAACAAAGACAAAGGACAGTCTTCAGGCCTCTATGACAAATGTGCAGCTGATAGACAATTATGTCACAAATCCAGATCTCTAGTTTTTGGGTATTCTGTTTTTATTTTTTAAGAAACTTATTTCTCGTACACAGTAGGCACACAATAAATAGTATTTTTATTCTAGTGGTATGATTATTATCAAAAATCGCTGCAACTAACAAATAAACATCAGTTAAGCTTCACATTGCAAATCCAAATGCTGTTTTTCCCTTAAAACCTCAGTTCATGAGAAGTGTTTGGTCTTCACTCGCAGCCGCCACAACACCAGCCTTCCTCAGGACCATCCTCCAGTCGAGACCAGCAGTCCCCTCACCCTTGGTCAACTCTTAGCCAAGGAACCATGGAATGGCTCCTGGTAACCTCGCTGTACAAAAGCTGGGTCCACCTAACGTCATGAGTCACAGACTTACCTTCTTTTCCCTCTGCACAGAGATGTGCCGCTGTCGTTCAGTTTACTATAAATAACAAAGCCCAGTGTCCAGACCAACACACTCATGCCTGTTTTGGATAGAACAGTGCTTTGAGAACTTATAGGAGGGCGCTAATGAAATAAACATTTTCATTTATCATTAAAAAATACCTAGTAGTTGCTTTAATCGGGTAAGCGTTCCGCTCTCCCCCACTGCCTTATAATTCCAGCCTTCTGAAAGACCAGACATCTGGACAGAATCTTCATCTTTAGGCAGCTGCACTGCACTGGTACCCAGGTCCCCTCGCTAGGGCTCAGCTGGTGATCTACACGCGGGGCTGGGAGCCCTCCATTTGTCAAGTGGCAGCCACCCCAGCGAAAGACTAAAGTGACAAACAACAGGTTCCACTCTGCTCCTCTTCCTAGTCCTTTGCTCTCTTGAAACATAAACAATCTCACTCATTCACAAATCCTGGTCTGGGATCCTGGGCCGAGGCTCCCTCCAGCCAGGCTAAGTTTGCCAGGTGAAACCCACCTGGGTGGGAGGCTCTATCTTACCGGGACCTGGGTCTGCACCTACTGGGCATGTAAACTCAGCTCAGGGCTCTGATCGCCCCATGCTCCCGGTGATACAGCCTACGCTCGGCCGCACCCCGAACCACTACCTTCCTCCCGCGGGGACACAGGCCAGCCCGCAGCGCCCCACCCGGGGCCCAGACGCGCCGAATCCCTCTCCTCGACCCCTGGGGGTCTTTTGCCACTAGCCTTTACTGGGCCCTCATCCTTCGCCCCAACGGAAGTAAACTCCTCCAGAGCCTCCGCCGCCGTCCCGCGCCCCCGCCTCACGGCCGCTCCCAGCCAAGGGAGCCCCCTACCAGGCGCAGCGGGCCAGACGGGGCGGGCGCCCCACGCGCGCGGGCGCCACCTACCTGCACGCTGGCGTAGCTGGTCTGGGTCTCGGCCTCCGCGCTGGCGCAGCAGTGGCTCCTCCGGCCGCGGCAGGTGGTCCCGGCGGGTGCTGCGGATCCCGCACTGCTGCCACTGCCCAGCTCGGCGCGGGCCCTGCGGACGCGGACGGCTCCAGGGGGTCCCAGCGCGCGGCCCGCGGGGACGGCGTCGGCGGCGTCGGTCTGCACGAAGAGGCCGTGCAGGGGCGCCGCGGGGCCCTGCGACACGCCGGAGGTCTGGCGAGGCGAGTTGGACTCGTCCGAGTCCCGGCAGTAGATCACGCCGCTCTGCGAGACGTGGATGCTGGGGGCGCAGCCCATCCCTCGGCCGGGCTCTCTCGCGCCCCGCGCCGCCTGGACCCCGCGCGTCCACGGCCACCTGCAGTGAGGGGGCGGCGGCGCAGGGACTGCGCGCCCCAAGCCTGCGGGGCCGCCGCTCCGTCGGACTCGCCTCGCAGCCCCCCGCCCAGCCTCCGGGGGCCACACGCGTCACCCCAACTTTCCCTGCCGGGCCATCGTCCTCCCGGAGCGAGAGAGCGCGCGCACACAGCGCCCCGCGCGCACCGGCGGCCGCCACCCTCCCCGCCGCGGCACCCCCAACGCGCTCCCCGCGCCGCCGCTTCCCTCCGCCTCTCTCGGCTCGGCCGCGTCGGGCTCCCGCGGCCACGGGCCAGGCGCCCGCCGGCAGCCTACGCCGTTTTCCCGCCGCCGCCAGAGCCCTCAGACTCCCTTGGTCTTCCTTAGGTGCCCCAGCTCCGCGGCCGCGGGCACCAGGCCTGGGCGCCCTCTCCTCCGCGCCGCTGCCCAGAGGCGTTGCCCCCTTTGTACCCCTCCCCACGTCGCCCCCTAGTGCCCGGCCCAGCTTCCCCATCGCGCTCGCCGAGGCCAGGCCCCTAAGGGCTGCGGACCCCGGAGACCCTCCGTTAAGTCTCTGGCTTCTCAGAACACATGTTCACAAGGCCCTGAGAGAAACGCCAGGACGCCTCTCTTCAGCCGGAGGGACCCCGCAGCCCAGACCCACCCAGCGGGCTTGCCACCTCTCCACACACTTGGGGAGCTGAGGAAAGGCCTGCTTTCCACAGGCCGGCCCTCTTTCCCTCGACCCCCAACAAGCCCCTTTCCCACAGGCGCTCTTAAAGCTGAAGAGCCCCCATTCCAGTGTCCTTGCCCTTGGAAATTCCTGCCAAGGAATGGGAAGCGCTGGCCAAGACTGAGGCTTGAACACCTAATTTCCTGTGGAAGATCCAAAAAGAAGCTGTGTACATGATCTCGCTTGCTCCCCCACCCCAACTGTCCTTTCTGCACAACACTAAACTGTCACCCCAAGTGCTACCCTATTAGGCCTCCCGGACTGTCAATGGCTCTTTCTCACGCTCAGGCCAGGCCACTCATGCCTTTCTTCACTCCCCTTAGTAAGGAGACTCAGTTGCTCTAGTGGAGAACCACAGCCTCAAGCTCCTGGGTCCTGCTTCCCCAGTGTGACATCCTGGCACAGCCCCTCCTGCCCACTTACAGCCATAGCAGCACAGAGAGGTAATAAGTTGGTGTAAGATGGTCTAAGATGACGACAAAAAACCAGTTTTAATGCAAAGGACAAAAAATAAATATGCAATCTGCAATACTGTCATCCTCTTCCTTTCTTTCTCGTTACCATTAACTCCTAGAGTGACTCTCATGAAGACCTCATATGATTTCTAACCTTCACAGAAGCAAGCTATCACCCTACTTCTAATTTCAAATATAAAGGAGAAGAGGCAACTTTATTCTTTTACTTCTGCTTTCTCATCTCAGTTCAGCTCTTTCTTCTTGCTGTTGTTTCAGAGACATGAAAAAGTCCATCTCCATAATGGACAAATTCTTCAAAGAATTTCTGCATAGGTTGGCTTCCCCAAGAAACAGATGGCAATGGTGTTTAGCAGGCAGAGGGTTTACTAGGAAATGCTCTTGGAAGCACAGGGGTGAGGGTGGGGTGACATTTGAGCAGAGGGCAAGAATGACCTCACCCCCTCCTGCATTCCTGCAGCTGGGGTGATGCTTCAGAGCCTCTTGACTTGGAGTTGGAGGATGGGCTTTGCACCACCCATCCCATGTGGATCAGCATTTATGTAAAGGCCACATCAGTGATCTTTGGTAAGATTTGGCCTTCTTCACCTTATAAAAGACTTGCACCTGCTGGCAGTGCTCCAAGCAGCTGGAAGAGCCAGTCAGTCCTTCCCTAGCGTCTCAGCTTCCCCTGTGGTTCCCTTGCACCCTGCCTGGGCACCATGCCTATTGGAACACCACATTAAATGATCAAGACAGATTTGGGGACGATAATTTATTTAAAACTAGGCCTGACAGCTACCATCTGCCCTACTTTCAAGGGACCACTTAAGAGCTGACCAAACATCCGTTAGATTATAAAAATACTAGTTTCCATCCAGTGCAATATCAATGGCAGGAATTCACCGTTCCAAAAGCATATCTGTGATTCTCTCCTGCATGCCCATTTGGGTCATTATCTTTCAGGGAGCTGCTGCCTATGCCAGCTTTAACATACTGAAATTTAGGGCCATGTTAATTCTTCAGCCACATGACTGCTTTTGCAGACTTTTCTCAAGAAATGTGGCTACTATAATGAAATTACCTAGAAGGTGGAGAGAGGCTCACTGAGACTTCTGCGACAAGATTATGACGGAACAGAAATTATGACCCATCTTCTGGTGGAGAACATTAGGAGCTGAATCATGAAGGTAAGGAGTCATTCAGAAACATTTAGGTTGAACTTTCTACATGAGAAAGGAAAAAAAATGCCTGGCTGTTTTTGTGGGATAATTGAACATTTTATCCTAGGACCAGTATCCTTTGTTCAATGTAGCATCTCCACAGGAATAAAAGACAAAAGGAGAAATGCACTAGATATACATGTTTCCTTCCATTTCCACAGCAGCCAAGGGCTCAGACAGTTTCCACTGCCAATTCTGGTTTAGCAAAAGGAAAAAATAATATATCCTTCTAATCTCCACAAGTATTCTCAGTGGGAATGTGCAACCTGGCCCTTTGCTGGAACAGATCTGATCACTGAAACTTGGAGAAGTGTGTAAATGGAGGAGAAATGATTTAACTGAAATAATCCCCTACCCCTTCCCTGCTTCATTCTGAAGCCTGAGTTGCTGCCTGTGTAAGTAACTTCTGAAGTGATTCCCATGTAACTACTTCAGTTTATTCCAGAATGAGAGCAAAATCTTTAAGTTCAGACAACTGAAGATATAATTTAGGCACAAATTACAGAAAAAGTTCAGAAAACCCAACATTACAAAAACTTTTTTTGATCAAGTGGGGAGAAATTCAACAACAATCTCCAAAAAACAAATCAAATGAAAGCAAACCAGATCAGAAATATATTTTTTAAAAAACTAAACCTCAGATAGGTCCAAGGTCAGCTGAATGGCTTTTATGTTTCATAATAATAATATTAAGTAAGAGCTTACTTCAAAATTATGACCCCAGAGGCATTGTAAGATCTTGAACAATTAAGATTCATTCCAACTCTAAAATGGTACAAATCTTCTAGAATTCCTCTAAAGAAGAAGAAAATGTGATTAATACATTTTGAATGGCTCTTAACCATAAAGGTTAGAACAATAGCAGCTGACTGAATGATTGTGAATAACCAAATATTTAATATACCAATCAACCTTACTTACAGAGCCTCCAAGTTCAGACCACGTTCCAAATGGTGAAGCTTATTGGAAATATAAGCCCTGACAAGCAAAATGATCCCAGCTTATTAGGCAGCCCAGCCCACTGGACAGAACACTGAACTCTGAGACAGAAGGTAAAACCTGGAAAGTAGGGCAGCCCCTCAGGGTAAGTCGCTTAACCTCTAGACCTCAGTTTCCTAGATAATCTCTAAATCATCAACACTCAAGATGCTATCCTCTTATTAAAAGTTATTTTTAATTTAGAGTTGTAGGACTTTTGAACTCAAATCAACAGCCCTAGAACATCAGAATCACCTACAGGAATCTGTCAGAAATACAGCAATTCCCTTGTCCCATCAAAGAGACTTGGCCTCAGGACATAAGGATTACTCCAGCATAGCCCTTTCAAAGAAAGTGAATCAAAGGGAGCCTTTCCACAGCCTCCAAAGCGGGAGACAGAAGGCTGGAGTTCTTCCAAATACTCCTGAGCCTCTCTGTGATGTCATGCGTGGCTGCCTCCTCCCTCTCACCTCTGCTCCAATCACATGGATCTCCTTGCTGTTTCCCCAGGACACCCACCATTTGCCAGGCACTGTCCCCTCTCCGTTCTGCAGTCACATGCATAGGCATGTGGCCATATTCCTCTATGCTCTGTTCAAATGTCCCCTACTCAGTGCTGCCTATCCGCAACTCCAATTAAAATCACACCGCACATCCCTTCATTGCTCTGCTGCCATTTCTAATCCACTTAGCCCACGTTTTTCCTTGTTTTATAACACTGCCCTCCAACATACTATATAACCAGCACTCCAGTCATTATCTGTTGCCACCAGAATGTACCTGTACAAAGATAGGGATTTTTTTTAACTTTCTTATTTACTGATGGATCTCATACTTTTAGAACAGTGCCTAACACATGCTCAAATATTGTTACATGAAGTAATGAATTCTTTTTTCCTTTTTTGTCTTTTTCATCTCTTAACTGTTACAATGCAACATTAAAGAGGCTGTTATGCTGTGGGCCAGGAGGAAGGGAAAGCACATGCACCCCTCCTGTGTAGTGGTAACTGTTGTGCTGGAGGAGAAACAGGAAGTGACCTTCCTGTGAGCCAGCTGCTATGTGGGCTGGGAAACAAGAAGAGCCAAGGCCTTCCCCATCTCTCATAAGCAACTGGCTAACTCAGAAGAACACAGACTGAGTTGATAGCAACTGAGGTACAAAAACAACTTAATGCTTCTATTGTTGAATTGACTTTGCAGTCCTAAAGCTGGTAGTCTGAGGATCTATTCAGAGGATAACAATACGCAATATAGCAATTATGGGGGATTTTCTTCTGTCTTGTTTTTGAAATTCAATAAGTTTCTCACTGTTTTGTTTTGCTCCATTTTACCATTTTGTTTTATTCAATGTTTTTTTATTGGTTTTATTCTGTTCTCTTTGTTTGATTTTATTGTATCTGATAGTATGGGCAGCAATTTTGAAGATAACAAGAGGCATTATGGTAGCAATGATTGATTTCCTACTATTCTGTCTTGAGGTCTTGTATCACTTTCACTGTTTTGTTTGATTGAATTTATTCTGTTTTGTTTTGTTCTCTTTTGTAAAAAGATTTTTTTTAAAAGATGCTATTATGTTAAGGCTTTCTTTTTTTAGTAGAGTTTTATGTTTTTAGATTTTAAAGTCAGTGAATCTCTTCTGGAAATCTTCCTTTTAGTCATAAAATAATTTGTACAGAGATGTTTGGGACAATACTATTAATTTTAAAATAGGAGATAATTAAAAA